CCCATATTGAATGTTACATATATACCACGTGACCACGACGCACCGACCAGACAGAGGCCTTGCGCATTCTCCGCCTCAATGTAAGTGCCCCAAAGCGTATTCCACTGCAAAGCACAGGGCATAACTGCGCAATGGACATCACTTCAAAAACTCGGGAACAAATGAAGCATAAAGATGACTTAACAAACCGACCGTTATGAGCAAAAGGAAATCATCAACAAATAAATACTACTGGCCGTTGAGGGAAACGCAAGCCTACGAAGGAGTTATTCGACTAAGTGCAATAATGTCAGGCCAGAAGTAGCGCACCGACCAACCGTTCTGTTGAGGCCAGCGCCTTGTGACAGCATCTATAACACGCATGTGGTCCTTTCCAATCTAATTTACTCATCTTCGCACATCCCCTTTCTGTTCAGAACGCGCAAGCGTTTACTGAGACGGCTTATATATATATATATATTATATATATATATATATATATATGCATATATAACATACATACCGCGAGCTACGCAAAGCCCCCGCTTAAGACAATGTGTTTAGTGGGATGAAGAGCATGGGATCTTGTGTCTGGCCTGCTGCACATACAGCTATAAACGCTTTACCGGCTATTGTTGTCATCCTGTCGACGCTGCAAAAACCATGGACGTCAGACACAAACCTTTTATTAGCATGTCCAAAAACCAACTGTATCATAAAGAATGATCTCTAATAGTCTCTGCATTTTTGTTTTTGTTTGAAGGAACACGTTAACAAGGGCCCTAGGCTGAAAATAGAGAGAACTGCCCAAAAACCAAAGCGCTCACACCGAACTGTTTGTGATGACATCGGTGCTCAGGGTTCGCCTACATCGCTCTGCGTCCGCGATTACACAAATATCTCCAAACCATGGATATATAACGCTATCCACATTATATATAGATGGTATACGCACAGTATCTCATTACACGTACTATCAGAATATTACTTCAGCATTGGGGTCACACCCTACAACTCCACGATCGACCAGGGACAGCGACCGCCTATCTCTGTTCACGAGATACCGCACGCAGGTAGCCCATGCCCTTCTTAGGGGTCAGTAGGAACTTGTCCTCATCGAGCGGCATGGGCGGCGGCGGCGTCCGCTTGCTCGGCTCCAGCCGGTTCTCCCGCAGCACGGCAATCAATGCCACTTTCGCCTCGAACAGCGCGAAACGCATGGCGATGCAGTTGCGCGGCCCGCTGCCGAAGGTACGAAGGCACACGGGTGGCGTTCCTCCTTCGCTTCGGGTAGGAAAGCGGTCCGGATCGAAGCGCAGAGGTCCGGGTAGTGCTCAGGGGTCGCGGTGGATGTTCAAGATCGGGCCTTGGACGGTTGTGCCGCGCGGAATATGCACGTTCGTGTCGGGCAATGTGTCGTACTCAGGCTACAACTGGCGCTCCATGCGGATGGCCGGCGGGTACAGCCGCAGCGTCCTCGGACAGCACCCGGTCCAGATAGGTCATCTCTGCCACGGCGTCGTAGGTCAGCTGGCCGTCGTGTCGCTGCAGGACGTCGTCGATCTTCGCGGTGGGCGGCGTTCTGGACGTCGGGCGACGTCGCCAGGCAGTAGGCGGCGAACGCTAGCAGCGAGGCTGTCGTGTCGTAGCCGACGATGAGGAACAGCACGACTGGCTGATAATGCTACTGTCACTAAGGATGACGTTTGCCGTCCTTGTCCTTGGTGTCCAGAAGCAGTTGGAGGAAGTCTTTGCGCGAGTTGCCGGCTCGCGCTGCACGTACGGCGCTTTTGACAACATGTTTTGAAAAATGCATTGATGCGCGCAAACGGGTCTGGTAACAGGCGCACGGACCCCAAACCAAACAGAAGGATGAGCAAGAGTCGGAAGCCGGAATATCCGCGAGGGGCCTGAAAAGCTCTTCCGCGTTCTTGGCAAATTCACAGTTGGGTCTTTAAACGAGTTGCAGTTTGAACCGAACGCGCAGGACGCGATGTTATCCATGGTGAACCCGACCGAAAACAATCCTTAATTTCGAGTTCGCCACTCTTCTTTCATCTCGTCTTGCACGTATTTGTTGGGTTTGAGGCGTTTTCCCAAGCACAACTCATGCATTATCTTGTAGTTGCTAGAGGAAAACGTTGGCGACATCACAGATCTGGTGTCCTTCACCGTTTTCCCGTTCAGATACTTGCAACATCTCATCGAACTCCTCCGTGAGCAAGAGCTCGCGCCGGTCCGTAAAGTACTCAAAATCCTTGATTGTGATCCTCTGAATCAGGTCCAAATTCCCGACGTACAGCACTGGCAAACTCAGCTCAAAGTAGCCGCAGAAATTCTACCTCCTTCTCGTAGTAAAGCCATTCCTCGAACGTGACAAAGGGGGTCATGAACGGCGGTCCCATCTCCGTGCCCCAGGGAAACCTGGCGGTCGGGCCCAACACTCCCCTGGATCTCCAGAAGTCAAAGTGCCTGGTGACGTAGAAGTAGACGCAGACGAATAAGACGGCCAGCACCGCCAGCGGCAGCGGCGAAAAGAGCCAGGACAGCACTGACAACACCACGGAACTCACCCACCCGATCATGGCGGCGCGCAAGAGGCGCGGACACGCCGCACCCGGCCGTCTACGACTGTTGTCTGCCGCCGCGCACTCCCGCCTCTGACGCTCAAGGCCACCCTGGCGGCCGGCCCGCCACCCAAGGTCACCTTGGCTGCCGACCAGTCAAGTGCACCGCCACGCTCCCGGATGGCGTGTTGTGGCGCAATCGTCACACATGGAGAAACTGGCACATCAGTACACATGCACAAACGCCCGTGCATAGGTGGGCACGAGCCCGTTAACCTGCTGATCCGTTAATTACGTAGTTAAATTTCCCGTTCGTTTGTTCGTTCGCCGTGTAAAGTGGCCAATGTAGCGGATGGGTCGGCGCCTCCGCAGGACTCTGCATTCATCACTCGTTTCCGACGCTTATCTCCAGTTCTTCTATTCTCTGTCTTAATTCAGTTCTAAGTCGTACCACTGTCCATTTTCCTGTAGTGAGCAGAACATAACGTGATTTGTATTCAAAACTGCAGCACTGCTACGCTGGAAGCATTACATTGTTTGAGGGCCAGCACATTTCCGTATGTGCCAGAATTCGTTCGAAACATGTCAGAGCACTATGGAAAATTCCTCCTCAAGAAAATTGAATCAACATTTGTATGTTTTTGCGAAGGACTTAGACTGCATGCCGTTGGTCATAAGACTTTTTGTGACTACCAACCACGCAGTGCTTTCCACATAGTGATGACCCATGTGGCTATACTGTTTCCAGGCCAGGGCTGAATTATTTTCAGGTCAGTGCTCTCGAACATCCGTCATAGGCGCCATGCCAGGCGCAGCGCAGGACAAAACGTGCAGAACCAAGAATCCTTTTCAGGATAACGCCCCCCCCCCCCCCCCCGCCTCCCTGCAGGTGGCCCTGAGCGGGATCACCCGCTGACATGTAAGTACAATCAAGCTTCGCTTACTCGTTACCATGGCACATTAAACGGAGTTTTCCACATTTGCGGGGAGTTTTGAACTGAAAAAGCCGTCTGGAAGACCTTTAGTTGCTGTTCACAATCCCGCCCCTCTCACGACCTAAGCCACTCTAGTTTCTGAACCACACGCCCGCCAAAATGGGGCGAAGAGAATTTCAAAGTCACCTCATCATTGGTGACGTCATAATAACGCCATTCAAATCCTAGTACTACATAAGCCATGCGGTAGTCAAAATAAAACAAAAACAAAAAACAAAAACCATTGGCGAGACATTCGTGAGCGCCACTTCCAGATCTAGCAAACGGTCGTCAAGTGCCTCTTGATCATTGTTGTGCAAGGTTGTTGTGTGTACCATGTGTTTATACTGTTTTTCAACAAGTGGTAATTTGTGACATTTGAATTTAGGCATTTCAGAGGCTCTCAAACAATGGGGTATATGACATATCCGTTACACGAGACATCCAGCGTCGTAATATGCCACCAAGACCAAGGGATGTTGAACAATGCATCTTCTATGATGTAATTAGCCGTCGCCTGTCATATGGTGTGCCATATGAAGGAATGACATGCAAAATGTGACGTAAAAATAAAAAAAATGTGACACTTTATGCCGGTTTTCACACACTCGCGGACTTCTCTGAATGCTTTGAAATTTGCCACAGATAATCACCTTACATGGCTCCACCTAGCCACCAAATATTATAGTATGACGTTTAAACGTTCGCCCTCCAGAGGCATTCAAACCTTAAAAATGACCCCTCGCATGTGTTAACATATACACATTGTATGTCAACTAAATGGACGAGAGACTCCTTCGATCTCATTGAAATTGGGCAAAAATGTGCACCATGTTTATACATATAGTTTTTCACCAAGTGGCAATTTGTGACACTTCCATTCACTCATTCCAGAGACTCAAACAATGGCATATATGGCATATCACTAAAACGACGCAAACAGCGTCGTAATAGGTCACAAAGAACAAGGAATGCTGAACAACGCATCTCCTATGATGTGATTAGCTGTTGCCCCTCCTTTTCTGCGCTATCTGACGGTACGACACGCAAAATGTGACGTACAAATCAAAAATGTTACATTCGATGTCAGTTTTCGCACGTTCGCCGACTCCTCTGATTGTTTTGAAGTTCGCCACAAATAATCACCTTACATGGTTCAGCCTAGCCACCACATATTATAGTATGACATCTAAACGTTTATCTTCCAGGGGCATTCTCAAGCAATGAAGTACATGACATATCACTAAAACGAGACATCCAGCATCGTAATACGCCACCAAGACCAAGGAATGCTGAACAATGCATCCCCTATGATGTAATTAGCCGTTGCCTCTCATATGTTGTGCCATATGACGATATGGCATGCAAAATGCGACTTACAAATCAAAAATGTCACATTCGGTGTCGGTTTTCACACATTCACCGACTCCTCTGATTGCTTTGAAATTCGCCACAAATAATCACCTTACATGGCTCCACCTAGCCACCAAATATTGTAGTGCGACATTCAAACGTTCATCTCCCAGAGGCATTCAAACCTTGGAAATGACGGCCTTGCACGTGTCAACTAGACGATAGGCGATTAGCTAAATAGATAAGAGACCCATCGATGGCCTCGAAATTTGACACAAATATTCGACATGTATGTGTAAAATTTTCCACCACGTAGCAAGTTGTGACATTCAAATTTACGCATTTCAGAGGCTCTCAAGCAATGAGGCATATGACATCTCTAAAACGACACAAGCAATGGCGTAGCATGCTACCAAGACTAAGCAATGCCATACAGTGCATCCTGTAAGATGTATTTATCCACTGTACCCCACTTGGCGTGTCGTATGACAGTATGACATTCAAAGTGTGACATCTAAATGGAAAATATCACATTCAAATAACATAGGAAGTGCAATAAGTGCGATAATGAGGTAAGAGGGTACGTGCCTTTTTGGTCGGGTTGCAACGGACCGTAAGTTAGCAGACATATGATTAAAGCGATTAAGATTATGGCAAGTACGAACGTTACTTGCAGCAGCAGAAAATTTGATACATGAAGGTGAAAAACTGGGATATTTTTCTTAATTAGTCGTGTGTCCATGACCTGGCTATCATTTCGCCTTTTTAGTACCTATTTTAGTCCTCCGCTGTCTGTACGTTATAACTCACATTGCTGGTTTCTTGCGTGAATTATTATATTTTTGCATGATAAATTCGTGAAAATTAGAGGCAATCAATCACACCAGGATTCGGAGCACCAATGGCCAAAGCCACCAAATCAAGGAAAGTAATTGCACGCTGATTATTTTGGTGCTTTGGTAATTGCTGGAGGCGAGTTTCAAAGCAATCAGAGGAGTCCGCGACTGTGTGAAAACCGACATCGAATGTGACATTTTTTATTTGTACGTCACATTTTCCATGCCGTACCGTCATAAAACACATATGAGAGGCAACGGCTAATTACATCATAGGAGATGCATTGTTCAGCATTCCTTGGTCTTTGTGACATATTGCGACGCCGTTTGTGTCGTCTTAGTGATGCGTCATATATCCCATTGTTTGAGAGCCTCTGGAATCCGTGAATGGAAATGTGGCGACTTGCCACATGATAAAAACTGTATATGTACATGATTCACATCTGTGGAAAATTTCAAGGTGATCAAAGGAGCCTCTCTGCCATTTTACTGCCATGAAATATATATTTGAATGCCTGTGGAAGGTGAACGTTTAAATGGCACAATCTAATATTTGGAGGCTAGGTGGAGCGATGCGACGTGAATGCAATCTCAATTTACTCCTTTTTGGATGTCATACTTATTGAATTATATACTCAGCCATGACGTAATTGGGTCTACCTGTGAGCTAAATTTCATTGTAATTTGTGAGTAGACCGAATGTGACACGCGATTGTGAGCGTGCAATGTCGTTCTAACTTGACGAACGTAGAGTTCGCGGTGGCAGACGACAGCCGTGGACGGCCGCGCGGGGGGCGCGTGCGCTTCTTACGCACCGCCTTGATCGGGTGGGTGAGTTCGGTGGCGTTGTCAGTGCTCTCCTGGCTGTTACCTGACCCGTTTGCGCGCATCAATGCATTTTTCAAACATGTTGTCAAAAGCGCCCTATGGTAGCACGAGGCCGGCAACTTGCGCAAAGACTTCCTCCAACTGCTTCTGGACACCAAGGACAAGGACGGTAGACACATCCTTAGGGACAGTAGCATTAACAGCCAGTCGGTGCTGTTCCTCATCGTCGGCTACGACACGACAGCCTCGCTGCTAGCGTTCGCCGCCTACTGCCTGGCGACGCCGCCGGACGTCCAGAACGCCGCCCACCGCGAAATCGACGACGTCCTGCAGCGACACGACGGCCAGCTGACCTACGACGCCGTGGCAGAGATGACCTATCTGGACCGGGTGCTGTCCGAGACGCTGCGTCTGTACCCGCCGGTCATCCGCATGGAGCAGCAGTGTAGCCGAGATTACACATTGCCCGACACGAACGTGCATATCCCGCGCGGCACGATCATCCAAATGTCAATCATGAACATCCACCGCGATCATGCGTACCACCCGGACCCGCTGCTCCTCGACCCGGACCGCTTCCTACCCGAGGCGAAGGAGACGCGCCACCCTTGCGCCTGCATGCCTTTCGGCAGCGGGCCGCGCAACTGCACCGGCATGCGGTTTGCGCTGTTCGAGGCGAAGGTGGCGCTGATTGCCGTGCTGCGGGAGAACCGGCTGGAGCCGAGCAAGCGGACGCCGCCGCCGCCCATGCCGCTCGATGAGGACAAGTTCCTACTGACCCCTAAGAAGGGCATGGGCTACCTGCGTGCGGTATCTCGTGAACAGAGATAGGCGGTCGCTGTCCCTGGTCGATCGTGGAGTTGTAGGGTGTGACCCCAATGCTGAAGTAATATTCTGATAGTACGTGTAATGAGATACTGTGCGTATACCATCTATATATAATATAGTGTTATATACCCATGGTTTGGAGATATTTGTGTAATCGCGGACGCAGAGGGATGTAGGCGAACCCTGAGCACCGATGTCATTACAAACAGTTCTGTGTGAACGCTTTGGTTTTGGGCAGTTTTCTCTTTTTTCAGCCTTCGGCCCATTGGTAGCGTGTTCCTTCAAAAGAATGTAGAGATCATTAGAAATCTTTCTTTATGACACAGTTGGTTTTTGGACATGCTAACAAAAGGTTTGTGACCGATGTCCGTAGTTTCTACAGCGTCGACAGGGTGACAACGATAGCCGGGAAAACGGTATCATGCAGAGGCTCAATGATAGCGGACAAAAACACGGCGTGACGCTTGAAGCCTGAGTTTGATCTGGCTTGCCTGAAAGCCGGATCCAAGCTATAGCTGAAGTGTGGACCCAGGGTAATAAATTCCGGGTAGACCAAAGTCCAGTCCCTAAATGTCAGCGTAACTTATAGATCTGCTAGGCCTGCACTCTGTGCTAGATCTTTATTTCCCATTAAATATTTGGCAGTTCAGAACTGAATGTGGCGCGATGCACTTGATAAAGATGCGCATCAGGGTTCAAACTTTGAGTTATGTCCAGAATTTTCGTTGGAAGCTCGCAAGGAATGAAATGCTGCATTATACTGACCGCATGTTGTAAGCCAACGATTCGACATATTCCATAAAGAACAGGTAGCAAAGTTCTTTGCCGTCCCAGCTACAAATCCGCGACCTTTCAGTTAGGGGCCGGGTTGGCTACCGACTGCGCGACAGGCACCGGAAGCGTGCCTCGAAAGCCTGAAAATTGGCGGTGTACCAGCGCCGTTTTTGTGGACAGTCTTTTGAAAATTGGCCCCGCACCAGCCAGTAGCTGGATGGAAACTAGAAAGATCTAGGCCGCTGGGGAAGCCACTGCAGCTGACGGGATGGCGGTGAGGCAGGCCCACGCGCCGATCATATGTTGTGCTGGACATCGGCCGTGGTCAAACCAGGGGGAAGCTGCTGCAGCTGACGGGATGGCGGTGAGGCAGGCCCACACATCGATCATATGTTATGCTTGACATCAGCCGCGGTAAAACCAGGGGAAGCTACTGCAGCTGACGGGATGGCGGTGAGGCAGGCCCACGCGCCGATCATATGTTGTGCTGGACATCGGCAGTGGTAAAACCAGGAGCCGTACTTTTTAGGTTATGTCGTAATTTGTGTTTGAGTGCGACCGGCGGCCGGCGATTCCTACTTAACCATGAAAAAATCAACTCGGGCCGGATCTAACTCGGCCCATCCGGCTGGCACGCGTTCTAGAACGTCATATGCTTCCCGCTGTGGTCGCAGTCCCGAAAGTTTTAAGTAGTGAGAAGTGCAGTTCTTCAAAGGGCACGCTTGGTAGGTTTGTGAGCACTTGCATGTAACCTGCTTGTACAGTCATCGTGGCAGTTACGCAGCCGGCGGGATGTGCTGTCGGCATGGCAGGCGCAGGTCAAAGTTCCCGCAGCACATTCTGGAATCCGACGTAGCCGGCGTTGTTTCGTTCCGAGAACTTTCTTCGTACGCCCCAAGCGGCACATGGCGGGATGGCACGCCGCAAGCCACGACCGAGACCTGGACCTGGAATGAAATGTTTTGTTGATAATTCCATTACGAGACGGATCATACCATGCTTGTATCACCTTCACCACAGTTTACAAGCCTATGTCTTATGATTGTGCCGTTTGATACAGTCACGATGTTACCTGGCGGCAGTTGGCGTGATGTGGCTAAATTTCTGTAGAACATTGTGTAAATTGCCATTTGGATACCGTTCAATACGAATTGCAATGTGACCATATTGTGGTACATGTAGTGGCGGATGGTAGGACGAGCATGAAATGATTTTCAGAATTTTCAACCATGCAACATAAAAACCAAGACACTCATGTGTGATATATGACTTCAGAAACCTATCCCGTATATCACATCATGCCACGCAAAAAGACCGAAAAAATGCATTATTTAGATGATCGCAGCCCCCAATAAAGTGTCAAAACTGGCAAAGGTGAGAAATGCCTGCATCTCCCTCTGTCATGATACAAAATGTTCTTTAAAAGTGTAATGGTCAGAAGCCTTGAATGGTGGAACAAACTGAATGTCCCAAGTTTTACCCGAGGTGCTCAATTAATCTACGCTTATTGACCTCAGCCACAGTTTGAAAGGAATCCTTCACATTTGAAGGTAATAAAGCAAGCTTCAGGTTTGATGAGATAAGCTGATTCGATATTCATTTACTGGTAACAGCTATTGGCATATTTTGAAAGGGAAAAGACTGCTTTAGACGGCCAAATTCTCTGTGTGGTAAATACGCTCCGCAATGCGTCATGGTTTGATAATGCCATGGTACCGTCCACGTTGATATTGTCAGAACCAGAAGCGTGGTACCAGCCGCTGATCAAATCACCAACGACATGCTTCAACACCTAAAAAGTCAATTTCTTTCACCATTATTAAACGCCTTCATCTACCTCTGGGACACAAGCGCCTTTCTGGCAAAATGGAGTGAATGTATCATTAGTCCGATTCTCAAACCAAATGAGGACGAATGAGATCCACGGGCTTACAGATCGATATGACTTACGGCTTGCATGTGCAAGGTCTTTGGAAAGATGATTAGTGCGAGATTGATGTGGTTTTTAGAGACTGAGGGTCTGTTGACCAGCCTGCAAGGCGGTTTTCGGAAAAAAATCGATGCGCCCTGGACCATCTCGTTGTTTTAGACACCACAGCCCAGAAGGCTTTCTGACAGAAGGAACGCGTTTTAGGAACATTCTTTGATATTCAATCCGCGTTTGATGCAGCCTGGCGTCGCGGCATTCTCTCGAAACTCCACCAATGCGGTGTGCGCGCACATCGGCTGTTTTTTTTAGCAAAGTATCTTCGTGACCGTTCTTTTATAATTTGAGCAGGGAACACCTATGCAGGGGATTCCCGCTACCCAACAGTGTTCCGCAGGGCGGAATATTAAGCGTGGCACTGTTTGCGCTCACGGTGAACGATATCGGGGACACTGCACGCGCACGTCGGACGTTCGTTATATGTGGACGATTTTGCCATTTGGGTTATGGCATCCAGCACGGCATCGGCAGTACATAAGCTCCAGCTCTGTGTGGATAAAATCGTTAAATGGAGCTCCACCAACAGTTTTACACTATCAGCGACAAAAACAGTGTGCATGCACTTCTGCAACACATGGAAACATTGCTGTGGTCTATAGGTGAGCCTGTATAGAAGCACTATCCCGGTGGTTGATAGTCTTTGGGTCTTGTTTCGGATCACGGTCTTTCCTATGTAGACCACTTCAAGCATCTCCGCACTAGGTGCTTTAAGGCCCTAGACATCCTTAAGGTGGTCTCACGTATGGCGTATGGGGTAAACCGCACAGCTTCGGTCATGGTCATGTTTGGCCATGCTGCGCTCGCTGATTATGTCAAAACTCGACTGTGCATGCACAGTCCACGGCTCGGCCCGCGAATCCAGCAAGAAGGTGCTGGACAGCATTCATCATCAAGGGATACATGTCGCATCGTGACCGGCGCTTTTCGCGCGTCATCCACGACATGCCTGCTCGTAGCCGCCAACGAACCACCACTGGACCTGAGGCGAATCTACGTAGCTATGCGGTACGCGATCAGGATATGCCAGTTTCGCACGCACCCAGCTCACGGCACGATCTTCTGCGCAGATCTGGTGGATTGATTTTCTCATGGAAGGGCGGGTAAAATACGACCACTCTGTGTACGTGTAAGTGAGCGGCTACGTGACGCTGGAGCAGATGTGCACCAAATGCAGCCTCACGTTCTTTCATTCGCAGGACCATGGCTATCCTTATCACCCACATGTGATGCATCACTCGCCAGGTTCTCCAAGAGACTGACGCACGCGGCTAAACTGGGAAATAAATCTCAAAAGGTCATGCGCACAACGCACAGACGGTCAGCACACTTCTACACGGATTGATACAAAACGAACCTGGGGACCGGATGCGCATTCGTGTCGTCGCGAGGTTCTCAATGGATTGGGCTACCGTCAGCGGCGTCGGTTTTTACTGTCATGTTGAACTGTCTAGATTGCACGTTACGACATAACCTACTGTCATGCGCAATATTTACTGACTCGCTCGGCTCAGTATTGAGTATCCAAAACATGTCGACGGCGGACACATCTAGCGCAGCTGATCATTAGTAAACCTTCCAGCCTGCGGCAAAGGGATCGGCAGGTAGCGCTGGCTTGGAACCCTAGCCGCATTAGACTAACTAGAAACGAGTCGGCTGACTAGGCTGCAAAAGCTGCCGCCCTGCTGCCACCCAACGGCGCAGTGGGAGCTCCTGCAAGCGATCTGTACGCGTCAAAAAACTGCATGTTACAACAGAATGACAGATAAGTTGGGAGCAGGAGAGCAGCCAGAACAAGCTTAAATCCATTTAACTTGGGATAGGCCACTGGTCGTCCTCACGTCGTCGGTCGAGGAGAGAAGAATTCATATTGACCCGCCCACGTATTGGCCCTAGTTAAAGCACACACTGATTCCGACTGAGCAATGCATCAGACGCCCCTACATGCGATAGTTGCGGCGAGATACTAACTGTCAGGCATGCACTGGCAGAATTTGCACATTTGTTTGCTGAGAGGCAACATTTCTGTCGACGTAAAGTTACCCTGACTTCACTTATAGGTGAACATCTCGTGGTTGACCTACGTGACGTGGTCCTGTTCTTGAGCGCTGTTGTAATATTCGTAATATGCTCAACTCAACAGCACCCTAAAGTCGCCGTGCAATTAAAATGTGAGGAGAGCGTGAAATGGCCCAAGTTGCTGACGCGCTCCATGATATCAATCATGACCATCATCATGCCGCCG